ACATCTGATTTTATCAACCAAAAAAATTACACTCTACATCTTTAAGGGAACAGTAGCAGACAGTGTTTTTAATGCTATTTCTCTGCATTAATCCTCGAAAATGCTGTGGTCTACAAATAAACTGAACCCTGTAGCAAATCCAGGCCTTTGTTTTGTTTCTCTTCGGACACTGTTCCTTTATTCTGCAGCTGAATGTGTCTTTAGCTGTTTGATACCCGTGAGGATTGAGATGTAAATTCTCAAGCAGATTTATTTGCATCAAAAGAAGAAAACAGCTGATTATTTAGGGCTCCGGTTTTCCATTCCACGTCCCTCTAAAAAGGCCCGGAGTATGAACTGCTAACACGTGTGGGATGAATAGAACAACAATTTGCAATTATTATTCTCTCCCCCTTGATGTTATTCACTTTCTTTTGCCATCCAGAAATCTCTCGGTTTGACTATTAAATGAAATGTGCTCTTGAGGCAAATAAACAGGAAAAAAAAATAATATTTCAGAAGTCAGAGGTTTCACAGTTTACATGGCTCAGCGGTTAGCACTTTCGTCATTTTCGGTTAGACCTTCTTACAGCAAGAAGGTCTCTGGTTCGAGTCCTTAATGGGCAGGTTGGCATTTCTGTGTGGAGTTTTCATGTTCTCCCCATGTTGGCGTGGGTTTCCTCCGAGTGCTCCGGTTTACTCCACAGTCCAAAGACATACAGGTGCTACTGTATAGGTAAATTGGGTAAACAAAATTGCCCATAGAGTATGAGTGTGTGTGAATGCTAGAGTGTATGGGTGTTTCCCAGTACTGGGTTGTGGCTGGAAGAGCATCCGCTGTGTAAAACATGCTGGAATAGTTGGCGGTAGGGCTGCAAGATATTGGAAAAATGCGATGTGCATAGCTATTTGGTAAGAATTCAGGTACATTCGTTTTCCTTCGGCTTAGTCCCTTATTTATCAGGGGTCTCCACGGTGGAATGAACCTTTATCAATAGTTTTGGAAGAAATGCTTACCTTAAACATAAACTTTTTAGGACAACATGGCAAGAAAATGATAATATTCACTCATCGGCCACTAAATTAGTTACACCTTACTAGTACTGGGTTGGACCCCCTTTTGCTGCAGATTTGTCGGCAGGATAGATCCATGCTTTCTTGTTGTTGACGCCAAATTCGGACCCTACCATCTTAATGTCGCAGCAAAAATCAAAACTCATCAGACCAGGCAACGTTTTTCCAATCTTCTATTGTCAAATTTTGGTGAGCCTGTGTGAATTTTAGCCTCAGTTTCCTGTTCTTATCTGACAGAAGTAGCATCCGGTGTGGTGTCTGCTGCTGTAGCCCATCTGCCTCAAGGTTCGATGTGTTGTGCATTCAGAGATGCTCTTTGAGTGGTTATTTAAGTTACTGTTGCCTCTCTATCAGCTCAAGCCAGTCTAGACATTCTCCTCTGACCTAACAACGCGTTTGCACCCACAGAACTGCCACTAGATATTTTTTCTTTTTCTGACCATTCTTTGTCAAACCTAGAGATGGTTGTGCTTGAAAATCCCAGTAAATCAGCAGTTTCTGAAATACTCAGACCAGCCCGTCTGGCACTAACAACCATGCTACATTAAATAACCTTTCCTCCCCATTCTGATGCTCGGTTTGAACTGCAGCAGATCATCTTGACCATGTCTACAAGCCTAAATGCATTGTGTTGCTGCCATGTGATTGGCTGATTAGAAATTTGCGCTAATGAGCAGTTGGAAAGGTGTACCTAATAAACTGGCTGGTGAGTGTACATATTTTTGGTCACACGTTATTCAATCTATTTCAATTCACCTTTATTTGTATAGCGCTTTTACAGTGTAGAAAAGCAGCTTCACATAAAAGATCATAGTCAATTGAAACAGCGTAGTTCAGTTTGTAGAGTTTAAGTTCAGTTCAATTTAGCTCAGTTCAATTAGTTGCATTTAGTTAATGTTGTAATCTACATGAATTAAAAATAAACAATAATTGTACATTTATTAATCAATGTTCAACATTCATAAAGCATTATTAAAACCAACATGCTTAACAAGTTAATAAGAACTTACAATGAATTACTTTTTTTTCCATTAATCCTAACAAAGATGAATGAATACTGTAATAAATGTATTCATTGTTTGTTTGTATTATTAAATACATTTAAGGTGACCTTTTTTTTTTTTTACAAGATATAAAGTAAGTCTCTGATGTGCCTAGAGTGTGTATTTGAAGTTTCAGCTCAAAATACTCTACAAATAATGTGTTAAAACATTTTGGTGACTGTCACTTTAAATTGAAATGAGATTGTGTTTTTTTTTCAAAAGAGGGCGGAGCTACAAATGCCTGTGTGTCAGCATTGTGGCAGATTTAAAAACAAGACTAACAGCATATGCTAATGAGGGGAAGATGTCACTAACGGGTGGGGCTTTCTCCTACTGATGACACGTACAAAAGGAAAAATGTCAACCAAAGTGTATCTTCTGACTGTTTTTATCAAATGTGATTATTAAAAATAGAATTAATACATTTTTACTATTTGATCTGGTTATATTGACAGACTGTTGCCACACAACTGTGTTTAAACCCCTTATAAAAGTAATTTTTACATAATAGGTCCTCTTTAACTTACATTATCTAGGGTTCTATTTTAACAATCTTGGCGCAAAGTCCAGAGCGCAAAAGCATTTAGGGCATGTCCGAATCCACTTTTGCTATTTTAAGGATGGAAAAATCCACTTTGCGCCGCGGCGCATGGTCTAACAGGGTTGAGCTTATTCTCCTAATGAGTTATACTGTAGGTGTGTTTTGAGAATAAACCAATCAGTCTCGTCTCTCATTCCCTTTAAGAGTCAGTTACGTCACGCCATAGCGCATTTGCTATTTAGATGGCAGACTTTGTAAGTGGAAAAACTGGACGCTTCACTAGCAAGAAAACAGTTAAACAGAGCATCTACAGCGTGAGAATGAGAGATGAGCCTCCTCATTCTTTACTTTCACTCTCTTCTGTGGATAAGGAAACATGTTGTACGCACAGACATCCATTAGCCTACATAATCAATTTTGTATGTTAATCACAAAGATTTGTTTCAAAACTAATTTTAAATTCAGTTCTAATTTTCAGCAAACAAATAAATGAACAATAATAATGAAGTGTGGTCAAAAACTGATTTATATCCAAACACACATGCTGTGCCTAATATGGTCCAAAACCTGACAGGTGGACAAATCTAAGCTTGTTTTTAATTAAACAAATATAAATAAGCATACAATAAATAATACTACTATTAATAATAATATTATACAAAAGCAAGTCCTGAATAAACTGAAAAAAGCCCCCGAGATGAAGAAGGCATGGAGGCAGTGATTTTTATATTTATGTAGAAAATAATAATTTTTGTATTATTTTATTTCTTTAATTGTTTTTTCATTTGTAATGATATTTCCATATTGCTGTAAATCCTGTGTGTATTAAGCAATGTTTAAGTGAGGCACACAACCAGGGCCGGAGCAAGCTGAACTGCCGCTCTAGGCTGAGGACGATCACGCCGCCCTCAACCCCAATGTGAAAACGAAAGTGACCAGTTATGAAAATAAAATGAGGTGTCGCGGACCTCTATTCTGCCGCCCTATGCGCAGATATAACTGAGGACGCGCGGGTGTTGCGGACCTCTATTCTGCCGCCCTATGCGCAGATATAACTGAGGACGCGCGGGTGTTGCGGACCTCTATTCTGCCGCCCTATGCGCAGATATAACTGAGGACGCGCGGGTGTTGCGGACCTCTATTCTGCCGCCCTATGCGCAGATATAACTGAGGACGCGCGGGTGTTGCGGACCTCTATTCTGCCGCCCTATGCGCAGATATAACTGAGGACGTGCGGGTGTTGCGGACCTCTATTCTGCCGCCCTATGCGCAGATATAACTGAGGACGCGCGGGTGCTAAGGGAGGGAGGGAGGTGTCGCCGACGCTGCTCTCTCTATTCTGCCGCCCTATGCGCGGAAATAACTGAGGACGCGCGGGTGTCGCGGACCTCTATTCTGCCGCCCTATGCGCAGATATAACTGAGGACGCGCGGGTGTTGCGGACCTCTATTCTGCCGCCCTATGCGCAGATATAACTGAGGACGCGCGGGTGCTAAGGGAGGGAGGGAGGTGTCGCCGACGCTGCTCTCTCTATTCTGCCGCCCTATGCGCGGAAATAACTGAGGACGCGCGGGTGTCGCGGACCTCTATTCTGCCGCCCTATGCGGGGAAATAACTGAGGACGCGCGGGTGTTGCGGACCTCTATTCTGCCGCACTATGCCCGGATATAACTGAGGACGCGCGGGTGTCGCGGACCTCTATTCTGCCGCCCTATGCGCAGATATAACTGAGGACAAGCAGGCGCTGATGGAGGTGTCGCTCACTGACGCTGCCCTCTCTATTCTGTCGCCTATGCGCGAATATATCTGAGGACGTGGGTGGTGAGAGAGGTGTCGCAGACATAACTGAGGACGCGGGTGGTAAGGGGGGTGTTGCGAATGCCGCCCTCTCTATACTGCCACCCTAGGTGGCCGCCTAAGTCGCCTCTATGGACGCGCCGGCCCTGCGCACAACTAATGCGCTTTAGACCTCCTCTAAGCTAGTCTATTGAACAGTGTATTTTAGATCCCCAAAATAGCAATGCGCATTAACACACCTTTTTTTTAGACCTATGGGCGCACATATGAGCGCAAATGCATTTGCTATTTAAACAGCGCAGTGCAACACGTCAAAAAACGCTTGCTTCAAGCTTAAAAACTAGCAAACAACATTTGCGTTATGCCTTGTGCCGCATTGCGCCGGGTGTATGATAGGGCTTCTAATCTTCAACTTATAATTGTGTAATATTCTATAAAACATTGACATGTGATGCAGGAACTAATTTACATAGCTGTACTGTAATTATAACACTCGTAATACAAGTAATCTGTGTATCTTATCAGCATTATATGCATTTCATAACAAAAATTGTCTCATGTTACAGAGCATGTTAACAGGACTGATGTACCACAAACCCGAGGACCCTTTAGCATTCTTGGAGATTTGCCTGCAGAAAACACGAGACCTCGGGGGTCCTGAATGTGTGGTCTGGGATACTTTCATTACACCTGATCGAAAACCTCTTCCGCCAATCACTCCGGCACAGGGGAAGAAAGCTCCCTGCAAACTCGGTAACTAAGCCTGTGCGAAAGTACTTCATCTTAGCTTGCTAAAAAAAAAAAAATTATAAATAAATTGTTAGTTGTGTGTGATTTATAAGGGTCAAAGATAAAAAGGTTTAAATATATTTAAACAATAAAAGTCTAATACAGCTTCAATTAAAGGGAAAAAAGGGAATTTACTCATTATTTATTCTCCCTCAAGTGGTTGCAAACATCAATGAGTTTCTTTTTCTGTCGAAGAGAAAAGAAGATATTCTGGAAAATGTTGGAAACCTGTAACCATTGACTTCCATAGTAGCAAAATCAAATACTCTGGAAGTCAATGGTTACAGGTTTCCAGCTTTCTTCAACATTTCTTCTTTTTGTGTTCAACACAAAATCTCTTTAAGTCTTATTTAGTTATTTTTATTTATTTAGTTTTATATTGAATCATCTAACTATCATATACAGTTGAAGTCAGATTTATTAGTCCCATGAAATATTAGCCCTCAGTTTGTTTCTTCCTCCAATTTCTGTTTAATGGAGAGAAGATTGTTTCAACACATTTCTAAACATAATAGATTTAATAACTCATCTCTTTTTTTTATTTATTTTTTTATTTATTTTATCTTTGCCATGATGACAGTAAATAATATTTTACTAGATATTTTTCAAGACACTTCTATACAACTTAAACTGACATTTAAAGACTTAACTAGGTTAATTAGGTTAAGGTTGGGGTAATTAGGCAAGTTATTGTATAGCGATGGTTTGTTCTGTAGACTTAAAAAAAAATGGCTTAAAGGGGCTAATGATTTTGTCTTTAAAAGGGTTTTAAAAAAAAACTGCTTTTATTCTTGCCGAAATAAAACAAACAAGACAATCTCCAGAAGAAAAAATATTATCAGATATACTGTGAAAATGTCCTTCCTCTGTTAAACATCATTTGGGAAATATAAAAAAAAAATAAAATAAAATCAAAGCAGGGCTAATAATTCTGACTTCAACTGTATTTATATCACGAGAAACCAACTAAAATATCACAGTGTAACAAAAGTTTATATACAAAAAACAATAATGTCATGAATATTTAGAAAACTAGTTTTTGATGACAAATTAAGAGGTGATGTTAAGGACCACAGTCCAGCTCTAAAAAAACTAACAGTCATTTTTAATCTTTATACTTTATAAGCTAGATAATGATGTGTATGATGATGTACAAGAGGCATCATTGTGGAAAAAAAAACTGTCAGCTTTTATTTACCTTTGGACAAAAGGCGCCATGTCCAATATCATTCATACCCTTTTCACTAATCAATAGAAAAACATTTATTGGCTGTTACAGAACACTTCTTAAAAATGCTGACCCGTTTTTTGCATACTGTATCTTCACTGGTATTTTTGCCAATTTATCTTTAGCGATGAGCCTCCTTGACATCACCCTGATCCTTAACTCCCTCCACAGATCTCAACTGGATTTAAGTCAGGACTCTGGCTAGACCCTTAAGAAAAACCTAATATTTTTGTATATGTGTTTATATTTGTGTGTGTGTGTGTGTGTACATATTACAAACTATTAAAATTCATGAAAAGTAGCCATTCAGTATGCATTATACTTTATATTAATTTGTACATTTCCAATATGTGATAAATAATATAATTTACTGATTCTTTTTGTAGAAAAAATACTCTTCAGAAACAATTATTTGGGGTGTGAAATTAAGAGCTAATTATGATGGTTAAAGAGGGTTTGAGTATTTGAAAATGTCCCATAAATTTCAATAACGGAGGTTTAACTGTAACCATATAGTATTGTGTGGCTTACTATTAACCAAGAACTGATGAATGTAATCTGTCTTCCTCCTCAGATGGTGGTCCTGGTCCTGGACCCGGGCCTTACCGCCGATATGACCGACTGCCTCCAATCCAGGCTCAGTTCTCCATCGAAAGTGACTCAGACATGACTGAGTCCTCCGGGCTCATACAGGAGTACGACGTCTTTGACCCTTCGAAACCACGACCGCACATCATCTTCATTATAGGTGCACTTAACAATGCTTTTCTTGAAATGTTTAGTTAAAGTGTATATAAAGCATCAACAATAATCTGATTAGAATGGGCTATAAGCACGGCAGGTGTCTTTCAGCCACCATTAAACTTCCAGGGATAGGTTGATGTGACTATTTTCAATTTCATGAGGTTAATTTTACAGCATCAGTAAAGTAAATTCATTTAAATATTGTCTGTTAAATAGAATTAAGCATTCATTTAGTTGTTCAAATGTAAAACGAGATGAAAGTCTGTTTAAATCATTGATATTTAAAAAAGCAGATCTTAAAAGTGTCGGTTTTATAATGGTATGATGGTTCACTAGAAGTGCCTGAGCTGGCTTACTGAAAATTAAAAGTCCCTGTGCTCCATTATTGGGGTAATATGCCCTATTAAGAAAAACCTGATAACCCTGCTGAAAAATCCAGCTTAAACCTGCCTAAGCTGGTTGGCTGGTTTTAGCTGGTCGACCAGCCTGGTTTTAGAGGGCTTTTGGCCATTTCCAAGCTGGTTTCCAGCCATTTCCAGCCTAGTCTTAGCTGGTCAGGCTGGAAAATGACCAGCTAAAACCAACCAGCCTGGTTTAAGCTGGACATAGCTGGTTTTGGCTGGTCAAGCTAGTTATAGCTGGTCATCTTCCAGCCTGATCAGCTAAGACCAGGCTGCAAATGGCTAGAAAACAAGCCTGGAAATGGTCAAAACCCCTCAAAAACCAGGCTGGTCGACCAGCTAAAACCAGCCAACCATCGTAGGCTGGTTTAAGCTGGATTTTTAAGCAGGGTAAGAAATAAAATTCATTCATTTGTTTCCTTTCAACTTAGTCCCTTTATTAATTAGGGGTTGCCACAGCAGAATGAACCACCAACTTATCCAATATACAGTATGTTTCACGCAGTGGACACCCTTCCAGCTACAACCCAACACTGGCAAACACCCATACACACCCTTTAACTCACTACAGCCAATTTTAGTTTCATTCAATTCACATTTATGCTTTGGGGCATCTCTTTGAACTGTGGGGGAAACTGGAGCAGAATTAAAGTTGTACATTAAAACTAAGCAATAATGCTTCTAATCATAATATTTTATCAGTATTGCAATTTTAGCAATTTTATTAAAAATCGGATCAAAACAAGAGCATTTGATCCAAGATCTAATTAGTGAAATGGTATGCAGTTTTGTCTTTTTATAAGCATAAAAAGTACATGATATTAAGGAAAGACTGCAATATTTAAACATAACAAAATGTCCAAGATGAGCAATGTGCTGAAATAGTACAGAAAGTATTCAGACCCCCTTAAATTTTTCACTCTAAATACCTAGGATGGCCATGTAATATTTTCTTTTTTAATAAATCACCAAAAATGTCAACAATTCAGTTTTTTCTTGTTAATATGGGGTGCTCTGTGTACATTAATAAAGAAAAAAGCAGCTTAAATGAAGAGTATATTGCTCCCTCTGGTGGATTTATGCGAAAAGAGGATGCGCAAGAGAAATTTGTGATAATCAAAAAGAGTATACAGAGGCTTCTGGTGGATTTGCAAAAACAAAAACTGCAAGCAGACGTACCTAAGGTTATGTATTTTAAGTGTGGGTTGCAGCCATCACTTGTTTCTACATTGTAAAAAATTGCAGGGTTCCACACACACTGCAAAAACTGATTTTTCTTAGTTTTTTGTCTTGTTTCTAGTCCAAAATCTAAAAATTCTAAAATCAAGAAGAATTTTCAAGGCAAGCAAAAGATTTTGTCTCGTTTTCAGAAATAATATGGCAATATTAAGTGCAGTGTTTCCTTAAAACAAGCTAAATAATCTGCCAATGGGGTAAAAAAACTAATCTTTTGTCAAAAAGAAAAACAAGATTATTTTGCTTACCCCATTGGCAGATTATTTTGCTTGTTTTAAGGAAAAACCCACTTAATATTGCCATATTATTTCTGAAAACAAGACAATATCTTTTGCTTGCCTCGCAAATGCTTCTTGATATAAGAATTTTTAGGTATTTGGACTAGAAACAAGACAAAAAATCTAAGTAAGAAAAGCATTTTTGCAGTGCAATTTCTTGAACTCAAATTAAGTTAACCTAATTATTATTAATATTTTAATTTAAGTGGATTAAACATAAAACAGCTAGGTTGTCTCCCAATATCTTACAATTGTGATGATTCAGCTTGTTTTTAATAAGTAGTTTGAACAACTAGCAAACATTATTTTTGAGTGTAGTACAATGCAGCTGAAAACAAGATAAAATTTAATTGATTGAACTGATAAAGACCAAATTTTCAGAGACTAATTTGTTTTTATTTTTCATTTTTCCCAAAAAAACTGGTGCTGGTCAGTCTCAGGCATCTGATACTACTCTAAATTCATCATATTCTAAAACTCTTTGAGCTAAATGAAAGGAAATTCACTAGAGCCTGACCTTAATTAATTAGAAATTAGCATTTCGATTGTGCCGTTTCTGTGATGTAAAGTGGGATTTGCCATGATATTTTCCAGGTGGACCAGGCAGTGGGAAGGGCACTCAGACAGCTAAAATCGCACTGCGCTATGATTTCGAGCATGTGTCTGTTGGGGAGATTTTAAGGAATCAGTTGCTTCATCATGCGCCCAGTGACCGGAAATGGGAGCTGATTGCCCAAATCATTGCCAATGGAGAACTGGCACCTCAGGTTTGGCACTTTGACCAACAACTGTGTACATTTCACAGATATGGTGTATTTACAGCTGCTGAGTTATCAAGACTGACATCAGACATCAAATAAAACGCTGTTCTTTTGATCTTGCTATTCATCAAAGAATGCTATGGCTTCTATACAAATATTCAGCACAATTCAGCTTTGCCATCACAAGACTGCATTAAAGTTTTAAAGGGGGCCTATTATGCAAGAAAATCACTTTTTTAAGGTGTTAAAACACTGTTGTGTGGCAATAATCTGTGAATATAATCAGCTTCTAGTGGTAAAAATGCATTGATAAAAATTTTTTATCACACTTGATAAAAACAGTCAGAAGAAACACTGATTGACATCCCCCCTTTGTGCATTAGAGAACGTTTCGACCATTAGTGATGATCTCTACCTCATTTTAATAGGACGTTAGTCTTGTTTTTAAATCTGCCATAATGCTGACACATAGGCATTTGTAGCTCCACCCTCTTTTGAAAAGAACACGATCTCATTTGAATTTAAAGTGCCAGTCACCAAAATGGCACAATTAGGATCAAAGTCTAAAAGGAGCAGCTTCATCAAACTTTATTTGTGTTTTTTTTGGGATGCAGCTTACACATTCTATAGGGACACCGAAGACTTATTTAACATCTTGTAAAAAAAGGCATAATAGTTCACCTTTAAAGGTTTAGTTTATAAAAAAAAGAAAATTCTGTTATTAATCACTCACCCTGATGTCCTTCCAAACCCCTGAGGTTTGGTTCACTTTCAGAACACAAAAAAATTTATTTTAGATGAAATCCGAGAGCTCTCTGACCCTCTATAGACAATAATGTCCTAGAAAGGAACAAAAATAACATTGTCTAAACATTCCATGTGACGTGAGTAGTTCTACTGTAATCAAATGAAGCTCCAAGAACAAAAAAAAAGTTAAAAACTACTTTGTTTACTAATGTCTTCCATATTAGATCATGGTACGCATAGCACTGTTGATTAGGTTAATATATTAATTCATTCATTAATTTTCTGCCACCTTTCCGGGACCGGGGCAGCAGTGTTAGGAGAGAACCCCAGACTTCCCTCTTCCCAGACACTTCCTCCAGCTTCTCTGGAAGGATCCCGAGGCTTTCCCAGGCCAGCCGAGAGACATAGTCCCTCCAGCGTGTCCTGGTAGGTGTCCAGAAGGCATCCGAAACAGATGCCCGAGTCACCTCAGCTGACTTCATCTGACATCTGAGATCTTGTCCTTTCGGTTAAGACCCAAAGCTCACGACCATAGGTGAGAGTAGGAACATAGATTGACCGGTAAATCGAGAGCTTTGCCTTTCGACTCAGCTCAATTTAGTTTTAATACTATTTTTAAATTTGCCGTACATTTCATTGTAATTTTAGATAATTTCATCAATAGTTTAGTTTTTATTTTAGCAACACAATGAGTGCTTATTAATAAAAAACAAAACTATAATCATTTTTGCGAATTACTATTTAATTTCAGTTCATGTTTAAGTGATTGTTCAGTTTCAGCAAGTTTTAGTTTTTCATTTTAGGGATTTTTATTGTTTCATTTTAGTTAATGAAAATGTCTTTTGATCAATACTTTTACTTTTGGTCTAAGTAATAGTCTTAGTTTTCATTTTTATTCACTAAATTAACCTTAGCTGCTTACTCCAATGGCAATACATCATACTCCTTGTAGTACTGCACTAGGTAAACAGAGTATTTACAGCTTTTTTGGCACACCAATTATTATTATTATTTTTTTTAAGTTTATAAGTTGTTAGATGGAATGTTTCGACAATATTTTGATTCCTTTTCTGGACTTGTGACCACCAGACTTCAACTAAAATATATTTATTCATGTTCGGACGAAGAACGAAAGTCTCAGGGGATTAAAATAGCATGAGGATGAGTATAACAACATTTTTGGATGAACTAAACCTTTAAGACATTACAGAATTAAACTATATTTCTATATTATTAATAAAATATTTCACTTTATTAGTGTATTTTTGATAAATCTTTTATGCAGTTCACCTCTTGTTCGTTTTCATTGTCTTGTTCTGGCATGGTTTCCTGTAGGAGACGACTATTGAAGAGCTAAAACAACAGTTCATCAAGAAACAGGATGCTAAAGGATTCATTGTGGATGGTTTTCCTAGAGAGATCTCACAGGCGTTCACTTTTGAGGAGCAGGTCAGATTTCATCATGTTAAAGTCAGAATTATTCACCCCCTTTAATTTTTATTTTATTTTTTAAATATTTCACAAATTATGTTTAACAGAGCAAGGAAATTTTCACAGTATCTCTGATAATATTTATTCTTCTGGAGAAAGTCTTATTTGTTTTATTTCGGCTAGAATAAAAGTTTTTAATTTTTTAAAAACCATTTTAAGGACAAAATTATTAGCCCCTTTAAGCTAATTTTTTTCGACTGTCTACAGAACAAACCATCATTATACAATAACTTGCCTAATTACCCTAACCTGCCTAGTTAACCTAATTAACTTATTTAAGTCTTTAAATGTCACTTTAAACTGTATAGAAGTGTCTTGAAAAATATCTAGTAAAATATTATTTACTGTCATCATGGCAAAGATAAAAGAAATCAGTTATTAGAATTATGGGTTATTAAAACTATTATGATCAGAAATGTGTTGAAATCTTCTCTCTGTTAAACAGAAATTGGAGGAAAAATAAACAGGGGGTCTAATAATTCAGGGGGGCTAATAATTCTGACTTCAACTGTATTTTTGTATGTATGTATAGATATATTTATATCTGTGTTCGGTGTGTGTGTGTGTGTGTGTGTGTGTGTGTGTTCTTGTTCTTTACTGCATAGAATTCATTAAAATAAAAGTAAAATATCATGCATAACAAGTTGATTTTAAAAGGCACATAAATAGTATTTGTATTTGTAATTTTTTTTTTCTGGTTGAATAAAAGACTCCCTAAAATTGGTAAAAAATCTCGTCTCGTTCTCATGAACCCAATCTTGTGTCTCGTCTTGTGGAGTAGGTGTCTTGTCACACCTTTACTAACAATTAATTAAGGCAGCTGATAATAAATCAATCAGATTCCAAACTCTTCACCATGGCCAAGCCCAAAGTGCTGCTGGTATTAGTGACAGGATTGTAGAAGCTTTTTGGACGCCATCTTGTGGTCAGATGTAAAAATTAATTTGGCGCGCAAACTCTCGCATCGCATTTTGTGTATTTTCTAGCTGATGAGTGTACATTGGCTGTACAGTCATTGTCGGAGAGCATTATGAGATTGATTGAATGTTGTTCTGAATGCCCGCTATGGTTTTGGACACCACTTTAAATGTGTGCTCCCTCAAATATAAGCACAAGTTTGGATAGCCATTAGTGTTGTTTTGATATTTCCTCAGATTGGGTCTCCAGACTTGGTGATTTTGCTGGCCTGCTCCAATCAGCAGCTTCGGCAGCGTTTAGAGAAAAGAGCATCTCAGCAGGGCCGTCCTGACGACAATTCTCATGCTATTGAGAAGAGACTGGACACTTTCAAACACAATATCAATCTCATAGCCAAGTACTATCAGGAGAGAGGACTTATTGTACGGGTAAGAGTTTTTTAAATTTTAATTATTTTTTTATCTTAGTATGCTTGCTTCACCAATCATTATTACATTACTGGATCTTTATTTCTAACAAGGATGAGTCAATAACTGGTGTAGTAGCATGAAAATGTTTTTAAATTGTAATAAGATTGATTAAAGAAATAAATAAAGCATATTGCATTACCCTTTTGCACTTTGAAAGGATCGTTTGGGTCCGAGTTTACCATCAATATCATAATTAGCAACCTTCATTAGTACATTTGGCATCTGAGTCATATTTATGTGAATGTGCTCATAAAAAATCATAAATATTATCTAATTATTTAACTGCATTTTGCAACTCATGAAGTTTTTTTTTTTTTTTTTTTACAATTATTGGTTTTGCTTTATTTTACATTAACCCTTTGATGTACTACATGGGTTTAAAGTGACCCGTCTAAGTTTATTTTTTATATCTATTTTATAGCTTGTGTATCAAAGGGTTAAAAATGTAATAATAAAATAAATTGTTGTTAATTCTGTTCAATTTTATTTATTTATTTTTTAAAAAAACACTACAAAAAGTACCGATAAGAGAACCGTTAAAGTACTGAAACGATAAGTCGTATCGATAAAAATAGTAATACCGTTAAAACCTTAAGGATATCTATCATTACTTATTGAGGTTTTGAGTTTTTCTAAAGTGAACGGTCAAAACTATTTTACTTTCATTACACTACAAACACATTTACGAGCACATAACCCAGCTCCTTGCACTCAACCCATTAATTTGTCAATATAAAGCACAGGATATAGCGGACCAACATATTTTTGAAAGCACGCATTTTATAAAATCATTCATATTTTACAAATGCACACAAACTATTTGATAGAACGCATAATGAGAATGGCCAAAAGCATCAAAGAATATAAAACTGTTCTAAAAGGGATACCTAAAAATGTCACAAGGAGACATGTAGGGGTCCTGACCGAGTGTCATTATGTGACAAGTCAGAAGTTAGAATGTGTTGAAAAAAATCAATAATTGTATTGCTGGGAGTTTATTAACTAGATTCACCAAGTGACACTTATAATTTGATAGTGTACAGTAATTGCTTTGCAGTAAAGTGGTTTAAGCCGGTTTTGCTGATGATAGTGTTTTGTTTTTATGCATGTAGTAATTAATATTTAAAAAGTGCAGTAAAAAGCATCAATAAAGATGCATTGCACATGAGTCATTAGGTGCATTATTGTTGTTGTGCAGAAAAATATATTTAAAGGTGTTGTAAGTTTTTGGCGCTTCTAAAGTATAAAAATACCATAATGTGTTTGCAGATATTTACAACAACATGCTAAGTAAGCATTCTTTTTTTATCTGAAAAACAATGCTGAAGTCAGATTTTCTGCTTTAAAAATGTGTGTTATGTGCCGGAACAACTGTCTTTGTTTTTTTTTTTACCCAGCTTACTGCCAGTTTAGCCAATTATATTTCAGCTCTCGGGTTGCCTTGTTGGAAAACCACATTTTTCATTCAATCAGTCAGACAGGTTCTTAAAGTATGTGCCTGTGGCTGAAATGCGACCTCCGGTGGACAGTAGCAGACTCCAAAATGAGACGCAGATTCAGAGTTCCACATTTGTTTTTAAAATTAACAAATAATATAAATATTATGAGCGTAAACATTAGGTGAGCAGGTTACATTGTAACTCCGTGTCCTAACAACACGCTACATGTCGTGATTTGCAGTGATAAGAATTTTAGCTGTTTGCACCAGACGAAACATGACAGAAATCCAAATACAGTCTTTCAAAAGCACAGAGTAGTGCACCCACTGCACTCCAACGAAATTGTAAGGTTTATAATCCAATTAATACATATTAAACCTCTTTAACATTATTAAATGTAGATGCTGAATCACTAATATGTGTTTGGCTTCCACTAAGTCACAGTTTTGAAGTTCAGTTTCAAACGGTTGAATTTATTTACAAGATCAGAGGTGAACTATCTGCTGCTGCTTTCAGTAGCATGGCAATAAATTTCATGTTAAATGGCATCCAAACCCATATTAGTAGCATTTAACACCCAAAAAAAGCACATGAGCTGTACCTGAGGCAATCATTGTCAGTTTTCTGTTGTTCAGCTGCAAGAATTAGAAGCCGTTTCTAAAATATAAATTTCAGGTGTTGGTTAGGACAAAAACTCCTTTTAATATGGAAAATATTTCTTCTATCGCGCACCCTTGCTTTTATTTAGAACATGTCTTAAATCAGCCTTTAGGCTTGATAGTGAGAGCAGGGCACACTCCCGTTGGTGTCCTCAATCTGGCAACATGCGCTTGCATGATCATGAAGTGCAATACCTAGTTCAACCACTGGGTGTCAAACTTACACACTGCACCTTTACGTTATTACATACCTCAGTTCACTAGCGATCTTAAATGCTTAGAAAACATACATTTTTTATTATAACTTTCCATTCACACTTTACAATAAGGTTTCATGAGTTAATGTATTTACTAACATAAAATAAATAAGAACAATATATGTACATAATTTATTAATCATAGTTAAACATTTATTAAAATCCAAAGCCATGCACGTTAACATTAGTTAATGCACTGTGAGTTAACATGAACTAACGTGAACAAATACTGTAACAAATGTATTGTTCATGCATTAACTAACTAACTAACTAACTAACTAACTAACTAACTAACTAATACAACCTCATTATAAAGTGTTACCAATTGTCCTTGGTTATATATAAAAAAAGAGTGAGGAAAATGTATGTATAATTCATTAAGTGAATAAGGTATTGTGAAAGATGTTATGTGCTGACTAGTTCAATCGTTGAATTAAGCAAGTTTATATTACGTCTACTTTTATGTTATGAAACCCAATTCTTGCCTCACTCTGCCTGGTCAGGTCGATGCCGATCGAGAAGAGGATGACATTTTCACGGACATTAGTGCCATCGTGAAGGAGAGATTGTTCCCTAGCAGCACAAATGCAGTAGGTTTTGAATGAAAGTTGTACACATTGAGTTTCAGAAATCGGTTTTCACTTCATAAAGCTTATTTTCCTCCTACAGAGCGGCACTGAGGATCTTTAGATGGACGTGTTAACATCCAAACCAATGGCTGCTGCCGTTAAAATCAACATGATTTCAAATCAGCCTGCCAAATGTGTTTTCTTCATACATAAACTTCAGGGTCAAAGTCGAGGACCAAGGACACAGGGTGAAGGAAATGTACATCATTTAAACTTACGTTGTTGCCTATATTTGTATTGCACTGTGAATTTTCTCTGTAAAACTTTTCAAGTAATTTAATATAATTTTAATAACTTTTTTTTCCCCAAAATGAGCTGTTTCTGAATTTGAATGTCATTCCACTTTATTGTTGTTTCACTTTATTCATGTATATTTGGAGCTCAAGCCAGAAATAGTGCAAAAAAATAAAAAAGTATAATACAATATCAGTATCGAATACAATAAATGGATGTTTTAAAATAAATAACCTCACTATTCCTAAAAAAAAAAAAAAAAAAAAAAAAAAAAAACATTAAATGGATTAAATGATTATCTTACAAAGACATTTTTTTTTCATCTTAAAGGGATAGTTCATCCAAAAAAAAATGAAAATTCTGTCATTTAAATTCCTGTTTTCCTTTCTTTCTTCAATTGAACACAAAAGAAGATACTTCGAATAATGTTGGAAACCTTTAACCATTGACTTCCAGTTGTTACAAGGCTTCCAATATTCTTCAAAATACCCAGCAAACAATTTTGTGTTTAATAGATGTCAGACATCTAAATGTAGACAGCTTGGCTAAAACAAGGCTGGCGGTCAGTGAAAATCTAATAGACATCTAAGATTAGCCCAAAACTAGTCATCAAATAGACAGATAAGACAGACTTTATATGTGCAGTCATTCATTTCTGTCTACTTGATGACTAGTCTAGGTTTGACATTTTCTTCATCTATTAGATGTTCACTGACAGCCCAAATTTAGCCTTGTTTTAGCCAAAGTGGCTATATTTAGACATCTATTAGACATCTTTTAAAACAAAAAATGCCTGCTGGGTATATTCTTTTGTATTTGGCAGAAGAAAGAAACTCATAAAGGTTATTACCATTTGAGATTTTCATTTTGGGGGTGAACTATCCCTTTAAGCATAGTGGAATGAGATAAAAAGGGACATCAGTGCCCTCAGGCTGTGTCTCATTAATACGTGTTCATTCCAGCTGTGGCACTTTCTCACACGTCAGTGAACTGGCGGCCATTGATGACCAATTACTCAAGTGCCAGTACACTGAAAAAAAGTACACTACATTTTTTTAAGGTAAGTGGTTGCACACTATTTATATGGGCTGAAGTTAAACAAACAAATGAAATGTTTTAACTTTGATTGTTTAATTTCAGCCCATATACTGTAAATTGTTTGCCACTAACCTATTTAGTAAAATATTTAGTAAATCCAATGAATCATTTATTGTACATAAGACGTTAATATTAGGTTAGATTTAGGTTGTGACGTCAGCTGACCAAAATTCAATGTCTAGCTAGTGTAAGGACAACGTTATTTTGACGTGCAATAATTACATCTAATGACATTGATATTTGGTTGATTTTAGGTTGTGTTAGAAAGTGACCAAAATCCAACGTTGAGTCAACATCTTAAACCAATGACATATTGACGTCAAATACTGACATTTATTCATCAGGTATGGCAACCAAAATTCAACGTCTGATAGACATCTTGGTGGTAACATCCACACAACCTCAAGCTGTAACATTATTAGACGTTGACATTTGGTTTATTTTAGGTTGGACACTGTACATGCACAGCACAAACAAAATGCATTGCCTCTTCGTCCTTGGGGTACAACGTCAGTCTGACTTCATTTTGACGTCCTGTGCCTGCGGGGTTGTTAAGAAATCATACACAATGCTTGACTAACCAAGGCATCATCACGCTGCAAAATAAATAAATAAATAAATATATATATATATATATAATTTTTTAGTCCTTTAGTCTAAATATCTAAAATGGCATTAATTAAGAAGGATTTTCTACACCAGCGAAAAATATTGTTTTGTTTTCAGAAAAAAAAAATAAGTAAAAATTAAAAGGATTTTTCATTAATTCAAGCTAATCTGCCATTAGGTAGCAACATAAATATATCACAAAGCAGAAACGAGATTATTGAACACCACATTGGCAGATCCAGTTAAAGTCAAATTTTTCAAACACATTTCTAATCATAATAGTTTTAATAAGTCATTTATAATAACTGATTTATTTTATCTTTGTCATGATGACAGTAAATAATATTTGACAAGATATTTTTAAAGACACTTCTTTACTGCTCAAGGTGACATTTAAAGGCTTAAATAGGTTAATTAGGGTAACTAGGCAGGTTAGGGTAATCAGGCAAGTTATTGTATAATGATAGTTTGTTCTGTAGACTATGAAAAAAATTGCTTAAAGAGGCTAATAATTTTGAGCTTAAAATGGCTATTAAAAAATGTAAAACTGCTTTTATTCTAGCAGAAAGAAAACAAATAAGACTTTATCCAAAAGAAAAAATATTATCAGACATACTTGCTCTGTTAAACATTATTAAGGAAGTATTTCAAAAAATAAATAAATAAATAAATAAATGCAAAAGGGGTAAATAATTCTGACTTTACTTTATCTTTACCTTGTTTTAAGGGAAAATTGCTTTTGTTTTGGACTGTTTAATTATTTCTGAAAGCAGAACAAGTTTTACTTGTCTAGAAATGCTTCCTAATTTGATTATATGTATATTCTGACTAGAAACAAAACCACTGTAAGTAAGAAAATCTTTTTTTTTTCAACGAATATTGCATATCCTCTGGTGATTTCACTTGATTCTAATGGCTTTATTTCTGTCCTCAGTCAAGCTGAAACATCTTGAGACCCAGAACTTGACAAATGGCAAGCACACCTTTAAACAAATCTGTTAATTACCAGTTTTTAGATTCACAAGTGTTTTTCATTTATTTACAGTTGTGAATTGCATTATGGGAATTTGATCTCTTTTGATTTGGAACTCTACAGATTAAAAAAGTAATAAATAATATCATGTATAAGAAATAAAATATAGAAAAACTAGTGTAAAGTAACAGAAAATGTACTGGCAGTTTATTACAAGGCTTTTGTACTGTAATTTACAACACCAACGCAGACAATATCACTTTTAACTATTAAAAATGTTAATAAAAGTGACTTTTTTGAACTTTTCAAGGTTAAAAGTTGTTGGAAGACAAATCAAAGTCCCATGATGCAATTCAAAAGCATAAATAAACGGGAGAAAATATGTTAACAACATAAATACGGAAAAACTAAATACAGAAAACTGCAAATTTATAATTCTTTACAGTGTACTTTGGAAAATGTATTAATGGTTTCTATTTTATTTAATTTCTATAAGGCTGGGTCAGTCGGTATATTTCTGTGTGGAGTTTGCATGTTGTCCCCTTGTTTGCATGGGTTTTCTGCGGGTTCCACCACAGTCCAAAGACATGCGCTATAGGTGAATTTAATAACCTAAATTGGCCATATATAGTGCATGTTTGTGAATGCGAGCGTGTGTTTTTCAGGGATGGGTTGTGGCTGTAAGGGCATCCGCTACGTAAAACATGTTGGATAAGTTGGCGGATCCCTCATAAATAAAGGGACTAAGCCGAAGGAAAATGAATTATTGAATGAATGAAAATCTACTTTTACGTTGCTGTTTTTTTTTCACATTCAAAATACAAATTTGAGCCACAAGATGGCGGACTTTTACACCTTTAGAATCATAAAGTCAGTGCTTTGAAATAGTTATGTCATAGCCATCCACAAATGCACCCAGTTCTGCCGTTTTTACCAATAAACATTATGATTCTTGACGTGATTGATTCCTGACTGATTAAAGGGATAGTTCACTTAAAAATGAAAGCGTACTCCCTATTTACTCGCCCTCTTTCAAACCATTATGATATGCTTTCTTATGTTAAACACAAAATAATATGTTTTGAAGAAAGCTGAAAACCTGTACCCATGGACTTCCACTGTAGGAAAAACAAGTATGAAAGTCAAGTTACAGGGTTTCAACATACTTCAAAATATCTTCTTTTGTCTTCAACAACAACTAAAAGAAAGTCATAAAGCTTTGAAACGAGCACATGATGACAAATTTCTTTTTTTTTTTTTTGGTGAGCTATCTCTTTAATAATAACATATAAATTATTTTAAATAAACAATATAAAATGTGAGCTTTGAGTACATTTTAAACTTTACTAGTTGATAAGATTGTGGTATCTCTATTTTGTGCTAAGTGTGCTTAAAATACTGTGTTATAATCAGCGCGATGGTGACGGAGTGCTGGTATGTGCTGCCCTTAGAATAGATTCACTCTTATCACCTGTCTGGCAAATTACTAGCAGCTCTTAAAGGGATAGTTCACCCAAAAATGAAATATACTTAAAATGTATGAGCTTCTTTTTTTCTGTTGAATACAAAATAATATATTTGTAACGTAATTGGTACATGATAGCCATCGACATCCATGGACATATTATAGAAGAATTGCAACACGTTTCTTACATTTTTCAAAATATCTTCTTTTTGGCTCAACAAGTGGAGGGAGAGTAAAATATGAGACTTTTCATTTTATGGGTGAACTATCCCTTTAACCCATATTATAAATAAAAGAGTAAAAGATGTGACTTCATTTTATGGGTGAACTATTTCTTTAACTCATGAATGATTTTTTAAAATAGTTTGTTCTGCTCATGTAATTATTTCATTTGTGACATCTTTATTTTTAGGTGAACAATTAGTAAGGTCTAGTAGAGGCTACCACAATCTTTGTGTTCATTAAAAAAACACAAATAATCTACTCCAACAGGGTTTTATTTAAAACAACCGCACTTTTCCATGCCTTCATGTCTTTTCTCTTTTTATTTTTCAGTAACACCATAAATGGGTTTTTTCTCTTTTTTTCTGTTGTATCTTAGTGGTTCACGAAATGTCAGTGTTCAAAAGCCTCAATAACTCCAGTAACACTCCAGGATTATTCCAATGAATATTTCAAAGACTGTCCTATGAAGGGTTAAAGCATGAGCTTAAGTACCAATGCAACAAGTACTGAGGTTTGTGACTTGCGTGTGTAATATCAGTTGAGAAGTCTGACCTTTTACATATTCTCATTATTTAATGTTCTTCATTACATAACAGGAAGCTCACCCACTGAATATGTTCCTGAACAGACTAAAACAGTTGTTGATGTATGAATTAAAGGTATTTTTGTTTGAAAATAATGTTACATTTCTTGTACAGATTGATAGTTTGCCTCAGTGTATCATCATGTTCCACAGATATGTATGTTTTGTGTTTAAATGTTATAATGACTTTCAAATTTCAGGTATTTACTTGCACTTTCT